CCCACCAAAAAGTATGCACATTGGGAACCGCTTTTGTATGATTGATACCATGTCTACGCGCTTCTCATCACCACCAAGGAAAAAATCAATGTATGCAACCATCAAATCAGGTGTTGCTCCTACCTGCATAAATTAGGTAACCATTTAGAGACATGAAAAAGAAGGGGAATATGGACATGAAAAATAATGTTAATTGTGATCGACATAGTTGACTTAGTTTTCAACAACTACCAGACTTTTGTAATTTTAAATTCTTTCTTATCTTCACCTTTTGAGTTTAAAGTTATTGTTTAGCTATTTGATTGTCACTGTGATCTTTTATGATTGTTGGTTGAGGTGTAACTCTATATAAACACCTCCATGTTTCATTCAATAACACACAATTCAGATTCACTCCTTACTTTCAATGCTTTAAATATAACTATGCATATAAGCCAAGGAATGCATGGATATGTTTGAATTCCATTGATGAATTAGAATAAAGGATAATTTCACTTGGTAAACATCTCATGATAGTTCAATCTTGATGATATAGAACCCAGCATTATCTTGGAAGATGTAAACACCATCAAGATATTAATGAAACATGGTATTTTAATTTAAGAAACATATTCTCAAACTAACATTAAGCAAATAGTTCTTAGCAGATAAAGCATAGCACTCAAGAAATAAGATGACTCCAAAAGGGAAAAATGTGAGAACTAAAACCTTCATCCCCTTGTATAGAGCTCGTGATCTGCAAGAGCGGAGACATGAATGGTCATATTCTGATTTGACATACTCCTGAAGCCGATGAACTTTTTTCCTCCGCCGCCACTGTTTCCAGGACCAGGCACAAGGGTATGCCACCATTGAAAGTATACTGTGCACTGACCCTTCCCACCAATCATATGCAGCAACTGAGTTGATCTCATCAATAAATCTGTTAAAAGCATCTTCATACCTACATGCCAATGGGTTTGTGATTATGAATACTATTTCAGATAAAATGGAAAATTTAAATTTTAACATACAAAAAGGGGGCTTTAAATAAATAATTTGTTCTAAGACAATTACCTACTGTTCAAGATACTCAAAGCATCTCTATAAATTTACTCAAAAAAAATTAATCTCTATAATTGGCAAGCTTCAATATGAGGTGTGTCTTGCATCAATAGCCAGTGAAACAGGGTGATACTAACAAAATGGCTGCTATTCTCATGAATTTTTCTTGTTAAGGGTGCTTAGCATTCTACCATTCGCAAGTTATGAATATGTTGGTTTACTATACTAGGAACAAAACAAATTGGGCATAAAATGAAATCAACCCCCCCCCCCTTTTGGGGTAAGAGATTTGCATTCAGCTGCAATCCAAGAACATTCCTACTTCCATGAATTCATCTAGAGAAGGATTGTGCTAGATTAGCACACACAAAAAAAATAGAGTCATCACTTCCCTTGTTAAATAATTTGCTTACACGATCTCAATGATTGTATCAGGAGGAGAGTAAGGAAGGTTCCATGGTTCTCTAAAAATATTTGGCCCCATGAAGTACATTCTGTAAACGTGACTTTGAGTTTCTTCTACTCTGGTTCCCCGTACCTAGTAAGAATATATATATAGTCCACACAGAAACGTTACAAAATATGAAACTGGACCCAACCACTGCTGCTTACATTTAAGCCGTGAAAATAAAATATGGCTTTCAAAAATATACCTCTGATAGAGAAAGAAGGTATGGGAAACGATGACTACTTTGATGTTCAATATTAGCAACATATGAGCTTGAGTCGACCAATTTAATTCTTAAAGTGCTTAACAATACAGCTAGAAGCACCAAAATTCCAGACAGAAGAAGTGCAAAAGGCCAAGGACCTCCAAATGTATACATCAACTCCTCAAGAGGGGTGTAGCAATTTGGCATTCTATACTTGTCAGATATACACTTGTAGGGGCAAGATGGCTGACATACTCCTCCTGGAAAAATAAACACCCTGAAGTGAGAAAGGAAAGTGTATGGATATAAGAGAGATTTGACGTTAAAGGAAAAAGGCATGGAAAAATGACCAACACACATTAGAATAAAATGTAAATCGCTGTTAACTAGTACCTCGTACATGTATGAAATTTGCACGATTTGGAAGAAGCTCCAGAGGGCAAGGAATGCAAAGTTCTTCATCAGAGCCATCAACATCTTTATAAGTGCCAATAGGGCATTCCTGTGAATGAATTCCATTATACTTTTAAAAAGAAGCAAATTAGTTGAGATCTCAAAGATTATCATAACAGCTAAGATGATTTATAAAACAGATAAAAAAAAGTCTAGACCTAAAAGAGAGAGACGATAGTTTTGTATCTATGTGAATGTCAGTTGAAAAGTGAGAAGAAACAAATTGTTCATACCCATATGTGAATAAACAACTTAGGATATCTGTATATGCATAAACTAGCCAATTAAAAAGGCAAGCCAATCCCTAATTGCCTAATGGTGAATAATTTCTCATTATAAGATAGATGTAGACTGAGTAGCATAAGAAAGATCAGATTATAGTGTGGGAAGTAACTTTTGGTCACATAGCACTCTAGTAAGTCAAGATTAGGTGCTTAAGCTTGGATGGAAGGTGCTGCAAGCATATTAAGATTTTATTAACTTTATAGGAATTTGTCTAATAGTGAAAATTGCAACAATAATCTCCATGTATCCCTGTAACATGAATGTGATGCACAATATCATAAAGTCATTGGTACACCATAAAACATATTGAAATACAAGTTTGAAGGCAATTAATAGCAATTTTAAAAATTAAGTGAAATTTACCCTGCAGAATGTACCATAGAGCCCTTTTGGACATTTTTTCCCAGTTACCGTGCCCTCGTTCCCATAGAGCCCACCATTATGCCCAGCACCTCCACTGTCACTCAACATGTTTGAATTAGTAACCTGCAGTGCAACCTTTTTTCTGGATGTGTGTGTGGAAAGGCTTATATTTCAATTTTCTAATAGTTCTTAAATTGATAGACAGTATAAAACATGTGTGTAACATGATCACATAACCTTTTTCCTTAAATCAGATATTAAATAATAAATAGCATAATGCAATTTGCCAAATTCAGGAGTCTTAAAATGTTTGTGACATGATCAGTCCATAAAAAGGTTATGTGATCAAAAGATCAGTTAGTTGCATTTAAGAGCCCTACCTACTATTGATGAAACCACTGATAGTAGCAACTGGAACATATTCATCCTCAATGCCTATCTTAGACCAGTGAAAATGCACTCTTCCACCACCACCACCACCACCACCACGAGGACCACCATTTCCCCCATTAGTTGATAAAGATGAATTTTCCGCAAGCATAAGCTCTTGTAGGAATAGAAGAACTGTCCCACCAGAACCTCCACCAAGTCCACCAATCAATGATCCATTACCATTTATTGTTGCTTGACCAAAGCTTTGACCATCAGCCCTCAAAGAGCCATATATGCTAAGCCTTAGGAGAGGCCATTGGGTTGAGCCAATTACTAGCCAAGAGGCAACCATAGTCGGTAAAAACAATCAATTTACAATGTCAGATAACATTAAAAAAAGGGGGTCAAAACAGTCGGGAAATTTTAACATATTTGCTAATTGCTAGTACTCTTGAAGATTAGTAGCTCCCATCACGCGTTAAATACTTAAACTAATCATAAAGAATGTTTGGAAATTATGAACTGAAAACTCACCAATCATTCCTCCGCCAACCACATGTCCGAATGACTGAGTAGGACCTTCGTTCCACTGCCCAACTCACAAGGAAAATCAGCATTCCCATACCGATAACCACCACTGCTAATTCTTCCATTGAAATATCCAGAACCCCCTCGTCCACCATGCCCAGCACCACTACCAGCTCCATTAAGATAGTTTCCTCTTCCTATACCTGTGCTGCAACCTAAAAATGGGTCTCCACAAATTAGAAGTCTTAAACAAAAGCATGAATCATACTTCTTCGAAATTAAAGATTACTAGGAAACCATTGTGGAGTAAAAGATGAAAGGGGGAAATGCAAATTACAACAATGGATCAAATATCAACAAATGCACCCTCTTACCTAATTCAGATGCAGTAAGCAGGCCATTAGCATCTATGGTGACTGTCCTTGCCCTATGAATGTGGACAATACTTCCCTTGATGACCCCATCAACGAGAAGGTCCTCAACCCGACAAATCTACAAATGGGTCAAATAAAAGCGGTTAGAAATTGAACCATGCCACATGCATAACAGCATCCTAATTCTATAGAACAAACCAGGAAGAAATCATTTAAAGCAAATAAAGCAATATGCTGTGCATGTTTTTTTCTTTTCCAATTCCAATGTACGAGAACAGTCATACTCAAGAAGAAAGTTTTACTTTCTAGATACACCTGGAAGGAATTTACAAGGTGGCACCTCTTTTTAGCTATAATTTTAAATATTATAAAATCAGTTCAAGCTTTGTAACTAGAAGAACAGATGGAATATATAGGACCTATCATGCTTTAGCAAATGTTAGAGAAGTCATGACAATGCAGGATGCCAATACAGATTTCTATTCTTCTTGAACTCTGAGAATTTTCACTTATCCAAATAAATAATCATTTCCTTTGCACATAGAAATGCTTGACCAGATGGAAGTTAGCATTCCAAGCACAGTTTCACGTTAAGCAAGACTTTTTAGTCCCCTCTTATTTTATGACATCAATTGATTCATGAAAGTAACCTCTTCAAAATATAATAGCATATAAGAAAAAAGACGCGAACATGTTAATTAGGCATCACCAAACCAAGTAGAATTCAAAAATGATTTTTACCTGTAGAGAAAAGGACAGTGTATAATTAACATGGCAATCATCTGGAGGGGTTATCAAATCTATTGGTGTTTGGCTCTCGCAAAGGGAATTGTAACCCTACAACGAAGGAAACAAAGAATTAAAAATGGAAGGAACTTCTAACTCTAACCATTAATGTTGTGCAAAATCTATTAAAAGAAATTATCTTCATACACATTTCTGCTAGCGTCATCATCCAGTGGAGCCTGAAGTAAGGATCCTGGCCCAACCTGTAACATTCAAAGACTTGTTAATACAAGGTATCAATTGTCAAATGATATCTAGTTCAAGAGAAATAATTAGGTGTCAAAAAATAGAACAGTAATCTCCTCTGCAATATTTTAGCGGGAATATTGATCATTATATGGATTCTCACAAATCGTTACCTCAATTCCATTGTACAAGTTAAAGTTGTTATGCAAGGGGAAAATGTTTTTATAAGTAACTCCAATAGAACTAATCATATTCTACACTTTTTTTTATATAAGAATTGGAGGTCCCATTAAAACCCCCCCTTCATAATTGCCTGAAACCAAAAAGGTTACACAGCAAAAAGTGGAAGGGAAAAAGAGTACCTTAAGTTTATATTAATGGAGGTTATAAAGAACCCCAGGATTACAATCTACAAAATAGGACACAACACAAACATAACCAAAAAGAAACATGTTACAACCACCGCATTCCTAGAATTAACCAATCCCCTTTTAGCTAACTCATCCGCCTCCCCAATTTGCACTTCTTTAACAGCCTGAATAAGGATCTCCTTACTTCTAACCACATGAACAATTTCCTTAACTAAGGCTCCAAAGGACACACCGAAGGGTCCTTAATCCAGTCTACAATATTCCTACAATCACTCTCCAGAATCAGCCTGCCCTTGTCAACCCACATGGTCGAGGAAAAGAGATTTAGGCCTGCTCTTACAGCCTTTAATTCTGCCAAGACCGGGGGCCGGGACCAATGGAATCCGAGAAGGAACCTAGAATTTGGCCTCGGAAGTCCCTAATTAATCCCCCAACACCACCCTTACTCCAATTGCAGTTCACAGAGCCATCCACATTCAACTTCAAAAAACCTTCAGGGGTGGGGACCAACGAAGAGGCCAAAGAAGATGGACGCCTCTTCCTATAGATATGGCTGGAATCAGCTACCGAAGGGTCACCAATCAGAGAGTCTAAATGGATCACAATCTCAGTGTACTTGGCTGAAAACCAGGAAGCAAGAAGAAATCTTGCAAGAAAATACGCAGGAAGAATATATAGTTCCATTCTCAAATACTACAGAATTTCTAAGTTTCCATATTGACCACACGACCGCTCCCGGGATGAAAGGTCAGATGCGTGAAAACCAAAAGACTGGGATATTTATTAAGGTTCTCATATGTATCAAGATAGGCTTCCTTCAAAGAATCTCAACCACAATAGAGAAGCTTACACAATTGACATACCTTTTATATCACCCGTGCATATCAATATTACAATACCATGTGATTCTGGAACCATATGTGCAGAACTTGCATAGATACACAGATAAGAATACTTGACGTGCACATTCACTAATTACTGCACTGTCAAACTACATGCCTTTAATAGTAAAAAATACTCAAATTGAAGTCATCTTAATTATCTCATTCCTTCAATAAGAATAAAAAAGATTGGTTAAGTCAGTGTTGTGCTCGCTCCCTGTGTATTTTCTTTCCATTTTCAAGATTCCAGTTTCTGTGCTAAAGAACTAAATTCTATCATGGCTTCATTTTTGTGGGGGGGGGTGCAGCGGATAAAAAAAATATCCACTGGTTAAATTGGAGTTCGGTTAGTAAACCAAAAAGATTGGGGGGTCTAGGGGTCCCGAATTTATTACTCTTGAACAGAGCATTATTGGGGAAGTGGGTTTGGAAGTTTGCATCAGAGAAAGAGTCTGGTGGAAGAGGGTGGTATGTGTGTTTATGACATGGATCCGAAATGCATAATGATGGGGAATTCGTGGCCAGGCTGTGCATCATGGATTTGGAGAGGTGTGGTTAAAAATTTCTTTTCCGATGATGGTTTTGGGGATTGCATTAGGAGGAATATGCGTTTGAAGACAGGGAAGGGGAATTATGTGCAGTTTGGAACGATGTATGGTTGGTGAAGTTACCTTTGAAAATACAGTTTCCTAGACTCTATGTTCTTTAGAGTAATAAATCGGGTAAGGTGATGGAGTTCAGGGTGAATAATGGCGCTGGTTGGGTGTGGGACATTCAAATGAGGCGAAATTTGGCAGATTGGGAGGTTGAACAGCTGTTGCAATTGATTTCTATGTTGAACAATATCTCAATATCGCCATGTGAGGAAGACTGTTGGATTTGGTCAGGAATGGTGAGGGTTGTTTTTCAGCTAAATCTTGTATCAACATTTTCCTTGATCAAGATGGTATTCAGCAGAAGATGGAGACCTGGGAGAGACATATTTGGGCAGGGATTGCTCCTCCACGGGTGGAGACATTTGTCTGGCAAGTTGCTCACCAGAGAATGGCGGTGAAGGAGGAATTACTGAAGCGAGGTGTGATAGGGATTGATGATCCTTTATGCTCTTTGTGTGGTAGGGAAATGGAATCAGTTACGCATCTATTTTTGCATTGCGAGGTAGTAGGGGTCTGTGGGCCAGATTATTGAATATTTGGAATTTGTCCTTTGTGATTCCAAAGAATATCATGGACTTTTTCATTTGTGGGATGATTTACTTCCGAATTCTTTGATATGGAAATTTATTCCAAGGGCGTTGATGTGGTCAGTGTGGAAATGCAGAAACGAGGTTATTTTTTCAGAAAGTTAAGCTGGATGTGGTGAGACTGTTCTTTATTGTCTGTTTTAGAATAGCTTCTGGTTTGTTGCAAAGTTCAAGGATGTGAATATACCTTTAGACTCTCTTGTGGGAGATTAAAACTTGCGGATTTGGTGGGGTAGACAAGGAAATGGCAACTCTAAACCAATTTGCTGGGTTCCTCCTCCGGATGGTTCTTAAGCTAAATGTTGATGGAGCATGGTTAAGGGTTGGGATAAGGGAGGTATGGTGGTTTGATTCGGGACAGTAAAGGTGTGTTGCTTCAATGGTTTTCAGAAAGTGTTGGGGGTGGTCCCCTATCTTGGCAGAATTATTGGCGATTAAGAGGGGGTTATGTCTTCTGGAAGATTTAAGTTTTGTATCGGAGGTTTATTCTTGAATCAGATTCAAGCTGCCCTAAATGGATCAAGAATCCGGGTTTTATGCACTCCTATGTTTCAAGTATTGGTGAAGGAGATAGTCTCTCTTATGGTAGGGAAGGATATCATTATCAAGCATTTTGAGGGCTGCAAATTGGGAAGCTGACAAATTAGCTAAGGATGGGATAGGGTGATGGAATGGTTTGCTTGCTTGTATTGAGTAGAAAATTTTATTTCCTATGTTTAGTTGTTGTGTTTAAGTTTTATGTAATTTCTGGTGGTGTTTGCAGATGTTTAGGGTCTGCCTTTGTTGTTCTATGGTTTCATCTAATAAATTCTAGGCACTCTTTTCCTCCTTTCCTTGTCCTTCATGTTACTTTTATAACATGGAGGTTGAAAAGGGGGTTTTTAATGAGGCCTAATCTTCTATCAAAAAAATAAGAATAAAAAAGCAGAAAAACAGTGATTCATGTCAGTATGGCTTACTGTTATGTTATAAAACAGAGACAATGAAAGCCGCTGGCCTTTAATTGCATCACCCTGACCAGTTAGCTGCAGCAGTCCTTGACCATATACACCCAGGTTTGCATTTGAACTAATGACAGAGTTCTCCTGCAAAGACAAGGAATCAACATAAATGCCAAAGACTTTCATAAATAGATGAAGATTGAGCAACAAGAATAAGCAAGAAAAAAAAAGGAATTCGTGATGAAGTCCAAGCATCATACCCTTAGAACACTAGATTCCTTACTTCAAGGATAGATGCTGTGACAACAGTATTTCCACCACATCTATTTGAATCTTGGAGTTCCACATGAGTAGCATTTGACATAAACCCTAAATGCACCAAATACCTTTATTTTGAAAGGGAATTAGTTAGACTAACAATGAGAAAATGATTGTGCCTCCATAGAGGATAAAAAAAGACTGAAGAAGAAATTAGAAAAAAAATAACTCAAGTCTTTCAAACTTCACTAAGAGGGATAGACAACAGTGGTCCTAGCAAACATACTGAAATAAAATGCAGCCAAATACTAGTCAGTTCATCTAAATAGCATTGCAGATATTCTACAACCTTGAAAAAATTAAATCCATAAATGCCTACTGTATACAAGATTTGAACTAGTGATGGTCCCAAAACAGAATAAACCAATGGTTTCAAAGAACCATTTACACAATAAATCTATCATCAATCCTTCCCATACCCATGCTTCTTTAACCTAGTAAGGATAAGTTCTCATAGATAGGAGAAAATGTTTGCTCAAATGAAATCATAGCCTAACTGCCTAGCACCAGATACAGCCATTAAAGTTTGCAGTACAGCTCTACTTAAATAAAACTAACAACTAACATAAAACATTACAGTGCTTCCCTCAACCATAAAAGAAGAAACAAATGTAACATACCTTTATGATGGAATCTCATTAAAGTTCTTCTGCAACAAGCTCAATTCTGACATTGGGTATGCAGACAACCCAAAGACAATTTCCCCCCCCACGATATAGACTAATCTGGCCTCTGACCTTCATAGGTAAAGAATATTAAGAATCAGAAGCCATTTGGAATATGACCACTCACCACTAGTCTAGAAGAATAAATGCACAGAAGGGCGAAAATTATTAGAAGATAAACGCAATTATGATGACAAGCTGTGCATAAAAGAGAACAGAAAAAATGATAAATCTATGAAAAAGAGCATAGCATATTTGGAAGAATATAGAGATTAAGCAACCTGAACTCTGGTCCAAAGAGAGGAACCAACGCTTTTGCATTATTCTCCACAAAAACATTTGACCATAGTGGACTAGTAGAGAAATCAAGCAAGGAGTTCCGTTTCTGTGGTGACATTATCATTGCCAACTCTTAGACTCAGTAAATCAGCATTGAAATATGTACCAGCTGCTCCAGAGTTTCCAGGACAACCAAGACTAAAACCACCTGCCAAAAATAGAGCATGTAATTTTGCCTAATCTAACCACGGTATGTGTCATCTACAGAAAATTACTGAATTCCTAGATTTTATGGGTGTGATCAGTACAAACCATGCACAGAAAACCTTGACATCTTCCTGTATGCTGTAACAATCGAGAGAAATTCTTCACCACCACCACCACCCCAACCCATCCCACCAGCTGCACTTATGGTACCATATCCCTTCCTATGTAATCAAAACATAATTCCAACGTTGAGTCGAGAGTTACATTTCTAATAATGACTAGAATTTTACAGGATGGTAAGACATTAATGCCCAAGCGTAGTCAAGGGACTATGATGCCATTGTTTGTCATTCATAAGCAACTTTCAAGTGCCAAAAAAAATACAGTATATTGAATAGTAAAAAAAAACACAGAATAATTACGCTCAAGTGATTGGCTTTGGAACTTTTAGTATAATATTTCCAATTGCTACACAAGCAACACAAGAATACAATTTTACTCTAAAATAACACTCCCACCCATTTCAATTTATAACAAATAATCCTACAACATATGCTACAATAGAACAAGTTAAAACTGGCCATAAGGAAATTAGCAATCAGAAACTCAAACAAAATCTTTGGGCTCACACCTTAACTATTATCAACGAAATTATTAAA